CCCCTGCCTGGGCACCTGAGAGGGCAAGCCTGTCACCTTAATATTTTATTTCTCTAAAGAGTAGGCCCTACCAGGGGAAAAGTTAAACTTTGAATAACTGAAAGCCTCCAGCTTTTGGCCCCTGCCTGAACTCTGCATCGCCCTGAACACGGGCTGGAGGCGACTCTGCGGCCCGCTCACTAATGGAGGCGACGACGGGGCGCAGATGGCTCCCAGCTGCTACCTCAGGCGCTGCTTTGAAGCCCCGTCAGGCTGTCTGCGGGCTGCTCTGCCTCTCACACACCCTTCGCCTTCGCCGTAGCTATGAACTCTTCCCCTGCCTTTCCCCTCAGCGCTGCCGGAGCCCCCCATTACCCGCCTCCCCTCCCGGGCCCCCACTGCCCTCTTGGAGGAAGCCCACAGGCCCAGCGCCGGCCCCGCCATTTACAGCCGCTCCTCAGGGGATGGCGGCGGGGCCAGTGTCAGGGCAGGCGGGCCTGTGGGGCCGTGGGCAGGGGGTTCAGCGATGAGGAGGGGGTGAGGAGCCTGTTCGGTGAGGAAGGTGAGGTTTAGGGGTGCACGTGGGCCATGTGCTGTCAAGTCAGAGAGTAACAGGATGTCAAACAGGGAATAACTGAATCCCTCCCTGAGGGGGATCCGCGGGTCTGAGGCATGTCTGAGGGACACCGCAGTAGCCTGCGTGGAAAAACATCCACTGATGAAACCTGTGCCCACGGGCAAGCTGTTCCCGGGCTTACTCAGCCTTAAGGGGTCTGGGTCCCCTTCAGAAAGCATTCACTGGCAACAATTATATTTCTCCTTCTGGTGTTCTTGTTACCGTATTTTTTTGTTTGCCTGCCAGGGTTCCCATCACGGCGGGTTCTAGTGCTACCCCTTCAAAAGCACCCAGATTTCCAGTTCAGATACCTACCAGTTGAGGAGAGGGGAATACTGGCCCAGAAACGCCAAAGGGTGTGAGTAAGCTCCAGTAAAACACTGGGACCTACAGCACATGGTACTGTGCATCAGAAGGGTCTGACATTTTATCCTAGAAATGTTGGAAAACGAAGCAAGTAAGTGATTATATTTTCCGGGCTTATCACTTCACTTAAAAATAATAAAAGTCTGCTACATCTTTCTGATGTCCTCCTCTTCTTTCATAGCCTTGAAAGACTGAGGAGAGGTCTGTTTTTGAGAATGGGAAAAAATGTTGCTGAGGTGGTTGCAAATGAACTCTTTAATATGAAAAAAAAAAAAAAAAAGGCTCACATTTCCATTTAATTAATTTCCTCTGTTTGCAGCAAGATAAGTCTATCCTTCTCTTGTTACATCCTGCAACAGTGGAAGTCACAGTCTATAATTTCTTCTGTCCTTCTGCTAGATAAGTAGGAGGGAACCTAACATGTCCTTGGTTCTTGCACAGGTTGATGAGACAGAGTCACTCACATAAAGATAAGACCAGTTGCAGCCTGTATAAGTCCCTTTAGCAACCACCACCCCAGAGGGGCTTGAAAAAAGGGTGGGTCACTGCCAGGCACAGCCCATTACACACACTTAAAGGCTGATGCATAGTTAGTGCACATTGATCCTCGAGGCACAAACTCCTATTTAGGCCATGCATCTCCACAGCATCTGTACTTGCAGGCGGTGACAAACAAGCACCATCAGGCTGGTGGTATCGACTGCCTTTGTACTGTCGCATTCTGTGCACACTTTGTTTGCCTGTCTTATTTTGCTAATGCTGAAAATAATTCCGTTTTAAAAGGGAAAAAATGGAAAAGAAAAGCATAGTGCCATTAAGTCCTAAGAGTGCCATTGAGTCCCTAACTCATTCCCCAGCTGTTTGCTCTGAGGCGCTGGGGAGTTATAAATAGCTGGAAGCAAGAGTTCAGAACAGTGGTATATACATTTTGTAAATGGAGCTCTGAGCAATGTCCTTGTTTCAGGACCAGTGAAGTCAATAATGGCCTAGAATCTACCTCTGTGTGCAGGTTATTATAACACAGAATAATAATAAAAGTGTTCCTGGATTTTCACAAGTTCAAGCCATAAAGAGGAGGGAAATTATATATCTACTCTGCCTTCCAGTCACTTTTTGTAGCTTTTATTGTAACTTTTCTCAGAGGAGAGAAGGAAGAAGCAATGTTGGCCATCTCTGGGTGGAAAAGGAAAGGGGGAAAAAGAGAGACACAAAAGAATTGGGTCTAACTTCAGTTCTGTTGGCATCTTTCAGGCTTAACAGTGCTGCAGTCAGTAGTAATAATCATGTAAGCAAGTCGGTATCTATTCCAGTGTCTTCCAATTATGGACAGCTTTGCAAAGAAAGGAATCTCTGACAAAACCACTGTTGTTTATCATGCACTATTTGCTAGTGCAAGCAAAGTTTCATCATTATTACCAAGGAGCATTGCTGTTAGTCACAGTATCAGAATATTGGAAGCATGCACAGTAGTTAGCAGTAAATGTTAGGTATGTTATGGTCTAGAAAGAAAAAAAGATGTAATGGAGCCTTATGTTGTATGGGACTGTATACAAGGGTTCATGGATACAGATCCTGCTATTCCACTGAGGACTGAAACCAAGATTTGTGTATGTGTGAGTAAAAACAGAAGTTAATTGAAATTTCCCTGTTGGATTGTATTTTTTTTTTTTTTTGAGTGAAGGAGAATCATACCAATTGGCGTCATTTGTTGTTTCTGTACCACAGTTTGCTAGCCATAAAATGGGACTAAGTATTCTTACTAAAGGATGGGATGCACGAAGTTGTGGGACTGCAAGTTATTATGTTAATCAAGAGCTAAATCCCTCCGAGAGAACAGATATTTTTTGAGCCTACCTTGAAGTAGACAACAGATGACATCTTCCATCTGATGGATGACGGATGCTCTGCCATTGTTGCAGCTAACCCCGCCATGCCGCTGTTGAGTGTATTTGACCAGGAGCAGCTGTAAAATGGTCATGGAACTGTTTGAACAGTCAGAGTAATTTCTACAGTAGGCTAAAGCCCCCACTCTTATTGACTTCTAAGGAACTTTTTACTGGTAACTTGGAGGTGCAGATGATGCCAGTGGTAATGAAGTAAGGAAGATAGTCAGTAGAAAAAGAAGGACCATCTGAACAGATCAAGGCTAAAAAGAAATGCGGCATGCTACAATCATTAGGCAGGGCAAACGGTGATTGGTTCAAAGAAGGCAGAGCCAAGGCAAAAAAGACAGTACATATGCAGCTGCTTCAGTTCCAAGTGGTGTGCTTTGCACATGCTACTGAAGCTCCAGCTTGTGTGACAGGAACATTCATCTGCAGGCAAAGGGGATGTTGTATTATCTACTCCAAGATGATCTTGTTTTCATTTTTATCTTGCGTGTGTTGTCATCTCCTGCTTTGTAGTGCTACAGACTTGTCTTTGCTATAAGCATGAGGCTGCGCTCAGCAGTGTGTGGTAATTAAGCCCTTTGAGGGTCATGCATATTTTAATTATTACTTGTTTGATTGTCAAAAGCTTGCCCACATGAGATGCAGTCTTGCATTCCATGTGGGACTGAAATAAGGGTCAACACATTCCTTCAGAACCCCAAATATTAAACAGACATTAATTTGTTTTGAGCTTTGCACATTTTAGATGAGCATAAATCAAGATGTATAATGGTGAAAAAATTTCCTCCATATGTTGGAAAGTTGAACTGAGACACTAAGTGACAAAAAGTGGTGGCTGCAACAGAAAATGATTAAATGATTTGTTTAGCATTTATGTAATGTATGAATGCACCTTGTCTGTGTTAAAGCAAAGTAATGATTGGTTTTCCACCAGCAAGGGCTGTGAATTCTAGCTGTATTCCCTTTTGGGATTCTGAAGTTCTCAGGTTCCGGCTTACACAACAGCAAAGTCTAAATGCAGACCAGTTTTTCATCCATGAAATGGAAGTTAAATAATGCTTGACCGAAGTAGACAAAACAAGAAGATACGTAGACTAACTGGAAACATCAAGATTTGAAAATTACCTGATAGGAAAAGGGAGGGGAGGGGGATCAAAGACGTCCCAGGGAATGAAAAATTCCTTCACAGCGCTTCCTGTTCTCTCTGTTATGCTAACCAAGGTAGGATTAGGTTTCAGCTGCCAAAAGAAATAACATTTGTAGATTTTTTTTGGTCTGGGGAAGTGGGATAGAAAGATTTAAGACAGCTTTTTCCAAACTATTTGCTTTTTGTCAAGCAGTCAAGTCTAGTTATTGTTATTAATTTGTATTACAGAACTACCAAACTGAGACTGGATTTCCATTGTATTAGGTGCTGTAAAAATATCCAGTCAGAGACTGGTCTTACCTCAAAGAGCCCGTGCTCTAAATAGACCAGACAGACAAAGGGCATTTTGCCCTAAGTTGTATAGCTGCTTAGCAGTTGAGCTAGGAATTATACTCATCTCTCCTGAGTCATAGCCTCGTACCTCAGCTACTGGAGTACACTTCTGGAGAACAGAGCTGTCATTAAAAGAAACGAGCCTGCCTTGTATCCAAACACAAGATAGGGTGAGATTGATTCAGCAAAACCAAGATTCATGTGAGTTAGCATAACTGACTCCCATTGATGGCTGGCTGTGTGAGCTGGAGAAACCTCATACCACCTTGCACCAACTCATTCCTCTGTTTAGTCCCTACAGTTTGCTGTTGGTTTGGTTTTCTGTTACAGGTTCATTGCCTATATAAAGTTCAGAAATGGGCAGGGTCTTTCTGAAGGGATTGCATTCTGGTTTGTCCCTGACCTCACATGGTACAGAACCATACCTAGAAATTCAGATGGCGTAGATTATTCTTCAAGCACCTAAATGAACAGCCTGAATGTAATGTTGTGAAAAGTGAAAAGCAGTAGCTAGTACACTTTCAGAAAGGCCCCGAAGCAGCCGAGCTTCTGAGTAGGTATAAAGGCTGTACTCCACCTTTTCCCAGGTATCTGCCTAGCAGGAACTGACACTTAATGCTGCCTGGTCTGTGACTGAGAGAAAAGGAGATTATACTTTTTGTGTAGACTGGAAGTCTTTACCTTAGCCTCATGCTAATATAGAAACAAAAGACTTTCTGTAGAAAAAAATCTGAATAAATAAAATAGAATGTAAGTATAAACTTGAATCTGTTTATTCTAAGGTGGAATATCACTGGGTAATTACAAATCCAATCCCATGTGTAAATATTTCAGGTGCTGTTTGAATTGTCAAGGGCTTTTCTTATGTGGAAGAATTTCCTGCTTCTTGTTTTTTAAATCCTAGCCTAGATATGCACAGGTGACTTCAGCTTCTGCTGAATGTGTCTGAGCTGCAGACAGGGAAGTAGCTGGGCCACCAGCAGATCAGCTGTCACCTATTTCTCAAGATGCCAGCAGTTAAGAAAGCAGACCCTCTGAGTTTGCTCATAAGAACAAACTGGAGTAAATGTTTAACCTGAGTCTTTGAGTCCCCGGCTTGTACCTTTCTTTATTATTAACCCAACCCCTGTTTTTCTTTACAGTTGAACAGCTGCTGGCACACAAGAAACAAAGGACCCTTGAAATAACTTCCTCATGGAGGCATGAGCAAAGGTAAAGTACCTTTTGTGTTGTTTCCATACCTAGACATGAGAAAGCAGTTGCACATTTCTGTGTTCTGCATTTCTGTTAGGGCAGAACAACCTGTCAATAGCAAGCAGTGTTTAATTGTGTCTTTTTAAAACTAAATCACTAGATAGGTCCAGTTAATTCCATCCTAATTGGCCACAAACTGAAAAAGTATCTATATACATAGTGCAAGAGTATGCACGGTGAATTTGTTCAGACATTCATAGTCCCACTGCTGTACACACTGCTTTCAATTACCCTTTTCTTCTCACCAATAGCCTTATGTTTGTAACTGTTGTTTTCCTCTTAATTGTTTTCTGTACTGCTCATGTCTGAAAAGGTCTGCCTCTTCTCCCTGTGGAGAGGCATGACTGCACTATGAAGATCTGAATTTACAACAGTCCTTTCACTAAGCTCACACAAACCATTTGTTTTGCGTTCATCCTGCACCTTTGATTTTTTTTCACAGCTCTTGGGTAAGCTATGAATTCTATAAGAAAGCTTCTTGATGAGGCAGGCACCCATCAGCACAGTACAAAAATGACTAGGACACTTGCCTCATAATTGTTCTGGCTACTATGTCAATACGGTGTGAATGCTTGTTTTAAAATAATGTTAAATATCTGTGTACGCTAGGTGGTGACTCAAAATTGGTTTGCAGGAAGAAGGATTCACTTGCTCAAATCTTTTTTTTGTTTGTTTGTTTGCTGTGACATAAATTTATGTGGAAAATGATATAATTGAACTTTAGACAAAGTAATGCATCAAAGGAAATTTGAGTGAAGATCAAGAGTGGAAGTTAAAGCAAGTACTTAAGGACATTCAAAAAGTAGCTGCTCATTGTTCTGTATAATTACATATTAGATAAATATGGCACATTTTTAGTAGCAATAACATTTTAATAGAAGTGGGGTTTATAGACTTAAGTAAAAGAACTGAATTGTTCCTGTTTCCAGCTGCTCAGAATACCATCTTACTCCATGAGTAACTCCTGTAAGTCAGGTGTGATCCCCATCTAAGCAGACAATGTCTCAGCTCCAGTACGTTCTTTAAGAAGATCCAGGTGCGATCTCCTCTGCGTGTGTGCTGCCTTGGGAGGGTGAGCATGTCCAAAACTACTGAGTACTGCTGGAGAGGAGATTTCTAGAGGCACTGCAGCTACACTGTTTGCACTTTGATTTATATTACAGCAGCATTTGCAACATGGTATGTGCTGCCCTTAGAGTAAAACAGTTCTTTTACATTATCTTCGAGCTGTATTGGTAATCAAAGTATTTGGCCTGTAAATACTTAGGAATCTGTGAGCAAAGGTCTGCAAACACATTATGAAATGTGAAAGTGGCATGATCAATAAGCACTGTGAAGTCATACCATAGTTCCTGAGAAGAAACTATAAATAGCTGTTGGAGAGTAGTTCACACATCTCTGATTCTTGTAAGCCTATTAGATAAGGGAAAAGACTCTGCTATTCTGTGTTTTGATCAGATCCAGCTGTTCAGCTATTTAGCCCTAAAGATCATTGGCACCATAAGCAAGAGATGATGCAGGGATGATAATGTGGCTAACAGATATTTCCAAAACATCTATCACATCTAGCTAGATTCTGTCACTTTACTCCCACTGGAGCATACTGAAATGAATGGCAGTATTGGTGGAATAAAGGAGCATGTATTGGAAGGATGTCAGAATACAGGCCCAAGTGACTATGAAAATTTGAATCATAAGACAGAAGAAGTAAACGAGGAGTTGCATGAATTTCAAGAGACTGACACCTTGGTTAAGAAGTAACTGGGAAGTTGGTTGTGAAGCTTTGAACCTGTTTCTACATTGGCCAAATTCAGGTTTTGCAATTTATTCAGATTAAGAGATAAACAAGCAAAGAAAACACAACAAAACACAAACCCGTTCTCTAAAGGAATGGGAGAATTGGCAAGTTGATAAAGAACCTTGTGTCTGTTCAAAGGTGACCTAGGTCAGCAGAGGATAAATTTGCCTTCTTTTTTGTCAGGAGTTTAATGTTTGTTAAGGGTCCATGGATTTCTCCATTTCCTGAGCATTTTTTTTCCAATCTGGCAATTCTACAAAGCGTATGTTGGACTTTAAACGTATTTGCCTAGATCGTTCTGGGTGCTACGAAATGCAAATAAAGACGCTGGCATCAAAAGGGGATGGAGTGCTTTGAAGATGAAGGGCTTGACAGAGAGCCAAGGAGCCAATGGACCAGTGGGAACTGGAATTCTCATGGGACTTAAAGGACGTTATGCCTGTTGGTGAAAGCAAACACACATCAGAAAGGAACCAGGGGAGATCTTCATTGCTTTCTCCTGGCTAATTGTTTAGGGCAAATAGAGCTGCCTCAATCCAGATTCAGAACTGAAGTGGTTAAAGAAAAAAAGTGGATAAGGAACATACTCGAGAGCTGTTCCAGAGGGGAAGGTGGGAAACCAGAAGTGGCTAAATTCTATATTGCTTGTATTAAAAGCAGATAAACTCCCTGTGCTTGGGTTAACTTTTGGCTCTGCTGGTGTGACAGAGCCAGCAGCAAGAATCCCAGCCCAACGGGAGTCTGAGTCCTGGAGGGTTTTGGTTCGTTGGTTGTTGGGTTTTAGTTTGGTGGTGGTTTTTTTTTTTTTTTTTTTGGTTGGGTTTGGGTTTTTTTGTTGTTGTTGTTGGTTGTTTTCAGTGCAACGCTAAGAACCAGTTCCAAAACCACTTGGGTAATACTAAAGGATAGGATAGGATATGTGGGATGCCACCTTATCATGCTTCAGAATCACACAAACAGAAAGCAGAAAAGCATCATTTTCCAGCACCACTGCCACAACCAGGCTCAGTGGCATTAGACATCTTTAGGGAAAAAAGTGCAAAGCAGTAACTGCTTTTTGTGCCTCGCTGCAGCTCTTAACATGCTTCTCAGCTCCTGTATAACTCCACAGCAAAAGACTTAACTGGCTAGCAGCAATGTGTGGTGTCAAGTGTTAAAATGCAGTGGTAATCATAGAAATAACAGTAATACTAGCCCGTGATGTGATCACAGTTTCTTTTTCAGAATCTAATGATCTTAAAATATATGGAATTATGTTGCTTTTCATTTTTTTAAGTCAGTAAATTCCAAAAGAGGATTTGCCCCATTTCTACAATGTGCTTAAAGACTTACAGCACATGATCAAATGCAGATTTATTAGGGGCATGAAGAGTTGGCATACGGCATTCTCTGCTCGGTGCCTTTTTGTTCTGGTCAAGGATTGTTTTTCATCTTAATCTTTATTTGTGAGACCATATGTGGCCCTGTATTTTCCAGATTTTTTTTTTTTTATTGCACAGGAAACGTCATGAACACTCTTTACTACAAACAGCAAGGAAAACTGGTGTTGTGGATAGGACCTATAAAATATGAATTGGAGAAAATATCACACAAACATCTCTAGCAGGAGGTTTTTCCTTCTTTTTATTGACACGGTCAGTGAGAATACTTCCACTGACTTCAGTGGATGTTAGATCAAATCCCAATGTCTCTCTAACTCTCCCCCTCTGCTGGCAATTCAGTTCTTGCTGTGCTGTCAGAGCTGCATAGGATCTCTGAGCTTTGCAAAAAAAATCTTTTAAGAAGTCATACAGTAGTATCCCTCATTCAAGTCAAAGGATGAAGCACCCAAGAAAACTCTGGTGAGGTGGAAAGGAAGAAATTTAGTAGATGCTAAGGGAGGACAGGTAGTTCTGCAATCTGAACTTTATCTGTTTACTTTTTATGGCAATTGGAACCAAGCACACAGACTGACTGATAACGCCTGGCCAAGAATAGTGTTTCTAGTTCAAACATAAGGAGCAAGCATTCAGTAAGGGCATCTGAGACTTTTACCATACTTCATTTGATAACCCAAATCAGTTTCCACCACTAAACCAACAAAGCATTATATTATTCTTACATTTTGAAACACAAAATAAACAACATCCAAACCAGTGACTGCAGATAAGATTATTTCCCATGCTTTTGAAAGACAATGTGATTTATAGAATATACAACCTTATACATCTTCAAAATGATGCTTTGTAATGTGCAGACAGATTGGATGGCTGTATCTGAAATGTTTGGCTTCTGTGTGTACATCTTGTGAGAGGGGTTTGTCTGACAAGAATATTTTCCTACTCTGGTTTTACAACCCTTCTTGATGCAGATTTTTTTGTATTCTTAATCCGATCTGCACAATTCTTTGCTTTGTTCAGCACAAAGGCATGAAAGTTGCCAAATGTAAATGACAAACTCTATTGGAGGAAGAGAAATCCAGTCCTTTAAGTAAACTTTTCCACCAGTGTTTAGAAATTTTCTCTCAGTAGAAGCAGAAGCATTTCTTTTCAATGTTTCTTCTGGCCAGCTATGAATGTTTTAAATATATAACACAGAAAACTGGGATACTATGGAGGTCCTGATTTTGGACAGAAACTTAAAATTCTCTGTCTTTGATGGAAAAATTTTCACCCAAAAATAAGTGTACCAAATATTTTTGGATTCACAGGAGGCTATTAAATTCCCAATTATTTGCTCAATTCTAAAGACAGCTGTTTCCTTCCTCCAGACCCAACTTGAAGCAATGAGCAAGCATGCAGTGAATTAAGTTTCTTTAGCTGGTAGGCAGATTATTTTGCAATAGCAGAGTATGAAACAGTCTTGGCTGAAAATGAAATTACTAACGTTCAAGATAACAGCAGAGATGTATGTGTTAGACAAATGAAGTTCTGACCGTCCTTAATCCAAATGATAGTTTTATCTAAATTGCCAGATCAGATCCACAGATCGCATGGTTGCTTAGTTTTCTTCTGGCATAGCTCTTTGTACAGAAACATTTTTTGAGAAGAGGAGAAAGTGCAATCAATATTTTACTGGAAATAGTTTGGGTTTGGTTTTTTTTTGAGAAGATTTTGTGTTAACACAAAAGAAAAAAAAAAAAAACACCTTTTATCTATATGCTTTTAGTGCTGATAAAATA